TTTTTTTAATACCATAGATAAGTTTATAATATGTCTTATACCTAAACTGACATACCGTCTCCGCTCAGAATCGTTTTTCTTATACAATGATATTATGTCGTTGAATTCAAATTTAATACCATCCGTTATACAGTGATCCACTTGTAACCTACTGTACCGCAGAGCACCTTTTTTTTTCATTATTAAATATCTATATGATTTATTTTTACAATATTCTGTATTTCAATTATTTATATTAAAATGTTTCGTGGCTTTAGTTATTCTCTTACACATGCCAACCGGAGTCCTCATATTTATGCATTTCCGCCACAGGTGTTCGATTCGAAATAATAGCCCCTCAGGTTCTAAGGTTAAAAGGTTCTATAGTAATTTAAGGTAAACCCTCTTGAGCGGCAGTCCATAGAAATGCCAATATTATAATACAATATATATGTACAAAAATAAAACACTGAATTTTAATTTTTAACAACTCTATATATATTTTAAATTTGCCCTCGGCTTGTAACTATAATACGATACCATCATCTTAGGGCAAATCTAACGAATGTAGTAGGTGTCACCAGCTTCTTCAAATTATATTATTGTTGTAAACCAACAAGCGACGTACCATCGAATAAGGAATAAACTCAGGTGTAAATAAGTTTATGAGCTCAGTTGAAATAATATGTAGTTGTATTTATTATTGCTGCTTCTCAATGAAAATTATTCTAAGTCCAATTTTGATTGTTATTATTCTGACTGTCGTTAAGGTGCTTGTCCAGGCTCTGGTAAAACACGTCTACCCACAAGCCGTTTTGGGGGCTCCTTTATAATAGTCCTGACCACGTTCCCCCTGTCCATCCAAAAACTTCCTGACGACTAGTCCGAGCAACTCATTTTCGTTTATCAGTTGAGTAATATTTGATAAGCACCACAATATTTTATTATGTGTATAGTGTATAGTGCATTAGTTTAAAATATAAAAATGTGTGTAATTATAATATACTGCGTTGTGCTTAACGAAACATGATAATTTGGTTATTTGTATTTTAGTAGAGTTCAAATATTAGGTTTCTGGTTATATAGTATATACCCCTTTCGGCCCTTTCTTTGAAATGCATTTCATATTTATTTGTGATCCGAAAACCGCAAGTCAGCTTATGTTCCCAAGATAATAACTATCTACTCGAATAATTCCTACTATTATTATTACTATTATTAGTACTTATTAGTTTACGTTGGTCACAGAGTATAACACTGGGTACGACATTATTAAAAAAAAAAAAAATGTTCGATTGATCATTACAATAACAGTTAGGTATGTTATATAGTAGCGTAAAATAATAGGACTTTATTTTGTTTACACCATATAAAGTTGTAAACATATTATTTTGAGTGTATGAGACATTTCGAGTAAAGTGTATGTGTCGTGATGCAATGTATAGGTACTATTTGATGTTTTCGCCGATTAACGTCTAACAAATCGTCGAAATCTTTAAAAACAAAAATTGAATTTCCTTAGACTCACTGAGAGCAGTATAACTACTATATACATTATTATTATTTCATATACATGTGTGCGTTTTTTGTGTACCTTACCTTGTACATAACTACTGTGTATGCATGTTTGATGTGCCTACGCAAATACGAACGCGAATCAAAGGACTATTGTGAATAAACGGCAATTTAGCTTTGTACACAAAGTGTGCACACATACTCGGTAAAAGGGTGTTTTATTCAACGGCAATATAATATGCCAACTATTTACGACACACGCCGGTTATATTATGCGTAGGTATACGAAAATTGTTTAATACAACAGCAATAATTATAATGATAATAATAATTAGAGTTAGGATGTTGATGACCTAAAAAAACACACAAAAATGCAAAATTGCCCTAAAAAAGTGCACTTAAATCTTCAAAAAATTACCTTAAACATTATCTAAAAAATTAATTGAATTAAGTGAAAACGCATTTATAAATAATAATTTTTATTAGAGATATGGGTGTGATAATGGGTGTAATAGTAATTTAAAATATGAATTATAAATATGTTAATCATTTAAATAGTTTATAAATAAATTTCAATATTAAAAACAAATTAAAAAGTAAAATTTAAATAAAAAAAAATTATATTAAATATATTCGCATTAATAGAGTTAGGATGTTGATGTAATAATAATATTAAAATAATTGTTTACTACTTGTCCAAATCCAAAGTTAGATTTTAAATAAATTAAATTTGTTTCTAAACTTGGGTGTAAGGTGTAACATTTGCCCTAAATTATATAATTTGAGAAAAATGGCCCACATTGTGCAAAAAGCATATAAAATGTAATAAAAGATGAAAAAATAACTTAAGAATGTTGAAAAATTACCTTTAAAAAGAAATAAATGCATTTATAGCTAAAAAATGATAAAAAATGCAAAATAAAATTAGAACATTCTGCATCCAGAAACTAATTTTTAGCTAGGATAGCATTGTATAGAATCAAAGGAAAAAATGCAAAAGTTAACAACATCCTAACTCTAATAATAATAATAATAATAATACAAGTGTATATAATATGATGTCATTGTAGTAAGCAAGTTACTACGCAACATTCGAAGTCTCGACAGGTAGCATACTTAACATAATATACGGTAGATAGGTAATGGGCAGATGTATTAAACAAAAACTAATTAACCTTCCTGGTTGAAATAATACCACAATAGGCCAGTGCGGGTTTTTCAATCGTGTAGAATATGCGGGTTTGATATATGGGATAGCTTTATATTTAAAGGAAATTTAATATTAAAAAAACAGTATGATTATTTTATTGAATTGACAATTCACAAATTAGAATACAGTATATATATTAATAATGCGGGTAATAAATTAGCAATTTGGCAAATGCGTAGTTAGGTCGATGGCCGCATAACCCACGTCCGCTAGAACAAAGATACCGTATCACTAGGCAAGGAGAGCGGGGACCGAACTATAAGAGGAACCCCGAAACGGCCTGTATTCAGACTTCAGACGTGTCCACTCATCGCTACTGCAAGCACCTTCACGCAGCTCCGTATAACGATTGTCATTTTGGACTTAGCACCATTGTGATTGTTGGAACTTTAATAAACAACAGTATAATTTGGCATTTGTGTTATAATTATTCAACTACTACCTCATCTTCACAGTCTTAAAATCATCATATCATATCATGATAAAATCATCTTAAACGGTCTAGCTACCTGCAACTGTTAATGTACTAGTAGCTATTAGAGCCGCCAGTATATTACATCATAATATAATAATATGTTGTGGTCTTGTGTGGCGCGGTGGTTGGCTTCAGATCTGAAGTAAAGTATCAGTCAGTACCACTAGTTCTAGGATGGGTAACCGACCCGATTCTATTGTGACAAATCCTTGCCGCACATATACTACACATGTTCTAACCAACCGTACTCTTCCCCACAGTAACAATCCTGTACTAAAAACCTATGAACAGAATAGGCCCATAGTTGCCAGGCTATTTGAGTCCAATAAAAAAAAATATTATGCTACTCGATTGGTTTATAAACTAAAAACATTCTCGTTTAGTCGTGTGCCATATAATATTATACTTACCTATAGTGAAAAATATACGCCAAACGGTCGGTCATGGCATGTCATGATAATTATTATATTAATATGTACCTACATAATATATCTTGATCAGGGCTTGCATTTGAAAAAAAAAATTCCTTTTTATGTTATTTAAAATTAAAAAGTTACATAATTTTTGAGTTCATGGTTATTAGAATTCAAACGTTATTCAACTCTGTGCGTGTATCGTTATTCAGAATTAAAACGTTATCCAAGTTTTACGTTAATCGTTATTTTTTTCGTTTTTGAACCGACGACGTCGCGGGAATTGCTTGCGCATTACTGCCGCGAACGTTAATCGTTATTTATAATAGTTAATTAATACCCATTAAATTTAAAATTAATAACTAACTCGGGTAGGTAATGGCCCGGATACGGAACATATTTAATCAATTCTTAGATTGTTTGCATGAAATAAATTTATAAATCGCTTTTAAAATCGCTGAAATTATCGCTTTCCGTTATAATTATGTTTACAAATATCAATCGTTTTTTGTCAAATATAACGTTATAATCATAAAATTATTATAACGTTTGCAAGCCTTGATCTTAAAAGTATTATTTGTCTTCTAAAGTTTTTGAAAAAATATATATTTATATTTGTGCAATATCTAACCAAACATTTTTTTATAATATAATAATAATTATAATAATATATAGGTATGGTGCCATATATATACATATAACGATAACAGTAACAATAGCAAAATATAGTTATATTGACAAAGACAATTACAACTAGACTTAGGTATATCAATATCAATATCGATCAATATTCAAAGCTGAACACTAACTAATTAGATACCATCATAGTTACTTTGATGGTAACTTTATAAATTAATCAGTAAGATTAACTACTAAATAATTTTCTAACATCACTTTAGAGTATAATACACATAACTGTGAATTAATGCGTTTAAACTAAAAATAAAAATATTTTTTTCAGTTTTATAATTAATTATATATGACTTGGGTTAATTTCTTATTTCAAATTTTTTAAGCACTTATGTCTAGTTATAGGTACCTACGTAGTTATACCAACTAATTTCCAATTTACTATCTTTAAACATTTTAAGAAAAAAGTGTAAGATATTATAACAACTTTAAATCTAGTTTTATTGATTTTATGATGATTAACTTAAATTTATTTGGTTAAAAAAATGACTAACTTGCCCAGCTTTGCTAATAATATACATAATATATGCTTACATAATACACACTTAACTGTCAAATTGATTAATAACAATAAAAACAATATTAATTATAATAATAATAATAATAATAATAATAATAATAATAAAAATAATAGTAATAATACACGTATTTGGCACATAATTTACAGGCTCACATCAAATCGATAGAAAATAAATGAGCGCAGCATGATGAGTCAGGGTCACATGAATGAAGTGAATAATTTAAACATTTGTCTTGTGTTGAATCTGCATTTTTTATACTCTGCATGACACGCCTTCACGTCCTTTTTGCTCCGTCCCAGGTCCATGGCCTTTCGGAATATGTTCTTTGCCACATTTTCGCCAAAGTGTTCGGTGGGGCTGAAAAATTAACAAAATGCATAATGTAAATATTAGACGTGAAAAGTATCAAACCAGACTCATGCACATCATCGACCGTTTATAAATTATACGATCGATGGAGTTGAATAGAAAAATTAAAAATAATTCCATCATCTATACGAATAATAAGTACCAACTATAATAGAATACATCAGGTCTATTAATTAAAATAACAAATATATAATAATATTATAAAGGTATATAATAAACCTACATGTTAGTAACTTTAAAATTATCAACATCATACAATTATTTATACATTTAATAATAAGCTTTGTCATGACATAATTCAATATCTATCTACATTATAGTTGTATTTGTTTATATTAATTATAAAGTCAAGCAAATGTTCCACTATATTACTCATTTTATCAGGTATTGTGTACAATTTATATTATTATAATAAAATTACTATTTCATTTTACTGTTCAAATTGACCACGACAAATCATCATCTTTTGGATCACTGACGGTCCACATGTAACACCACCCAAACTCAAAATATTATTTTGTTTTGAAAAAAAATCGATTTCAAGTTTGAAACAAAGTAAATATTACAAAGGGTATAGGGTTTTTACTTACGCATTTAAAATTAATAACTTAAGGGTATTCGATCCCGTTTGTATTTTCTACTGAACTATCCTAGTAGGTTCAAGAAAAAAACTTCTGAAAAAGTATTTGAATTCGACATGGAATTTACTCGAGAATGACTTATCCGCTTTTTTGAAACTGAACCTTTAAAAATGTCTCTTTTAAATTTTGAATATAAATAATTTCAAACTATAATAATATTGAAGTGAAAAATGTATTTCAAAATGTAAGAAGGTCTTTACTAAATTCATGACGAAATCAAATATGTTTTCATCAATCTTATACGGGACAAATAGATCAATTAATATGATTGGCAACAAATTGATACTTTCTACGATTGAAAAACAAAATAATTAATATTCGTATGGTGCGTTATTAACACGCACGGCATTCACGGCGCTCCGGTATTTCTTTTACACGCAGTCACACACACTAATGATCACTTACCACTTACACATTCGAAGGATATGGGACATAAACAATTGCCTATATTGAACTCCTTAAAAATACAGTAAGTATCGAGTAAAAACATAAAAAGATATACATAAATACATTTTACATGCATGTTTTAAAACTTTATACATTATAATATGAAATACTACCTTTTTTTACCTAAACATTTTAATTTGTAGCGTTTTACAACACTTATTATTCAAATGTTAAAATTACCTATTTTTAGATATGGTTGTATTGCATTACATATTATACTACATATCGCCACGATATCTACAAATTATTTTAATTCTACTCTAAATGTAGCTTTGCCCTGCATGATACCCGAAAATTAGTTTATATTAAACGTAAGAATACCCCAAATCAAAATAAGGCAGAATTCTATTTTGATTTCAACAATTGGTTGGATAAATTAAAAACATAATATTATCATAAATAAGTAAACAATATTATATGACTCTGTGAGGCTTTGATAATAATAAGCTAAAAATTTACCTATTCATTACTAACACATATTTTTGGTGGCCAATCGAAAAATTATATTCAATGTAATAAATAGTAAAGTCTCTTGTATTTCTTGCAATTTCTTGCATTTCACAGAGATAATTTTACACTGTTCAAAAGTGTTGTTGTATATATTGTACTAATATCCCATAACAACCAATTTTGAATTGTGATAATCTAGTTCTAGGTGCATGATATATTAGAGGCGCCGAGGTGTGTCGGATGCGGTCAACTGGTGTTGCACCGGCGCGACTGAAGCGCTTACGCCTCGTTTGTTCATACAACCGTAAGTGGTTATTATTATTATTAATTCAATTTGCGGTAAAATTGTTATAATATATTTTGGTTATAACGTTTCGATTGAATTTCCGCTGAACACTATCTATCAGCGCTACTTGAATAATTTTATGCACGAAAGTAATATTACAGGTGGGAGCCGAGAGGTCACAAATTGTTTTTGGTCCACGACGCCTCATATCGAATATAATAACCAGGGCTGTGAATTTAATGTATATTTTTTTTGATACTATTTTTGGAGAAACTAAATTCGATCAAAATTTGTTTTACATAAAGTATAATAGTGCATGTTCGTACTTATATAGTAAGTAGGGTAAAGCATGGTGTTATTGGCAGGGGTGTAGTTATTGGCACCAAGTATTTTTGTTTTTCGTATATAAAATGTTTGATTATGAATTTTAGAGATATTTTTTTTCGATTATATGGTCATATTGATACTATTTTATTATCAATCTTGATGTTATCATATTATTTATTTGATAATTTGCTATTCGATTTTGTAATGGAGCAGTTTAGGTGCCAATAACTACCAAAAACGAATTCTTAAGGTGCCAATAACTGCATACTTTACCCTATATTATTACATATTTTCTTTAAATATTCTGAGCTAAGCATAATTTTATATTTTTACGGTTAATAACAAAACAATTGAAAACAATAATTATGTTAAGGGGCCTGCACGCGACCTGTTTTTTTGCTCAAAAACATGCCTTACAGGAAAAACTCTCACGCCTCGTAGATTGGTCCGATTTCCGTAATTTTTTTTTTGTTAGATAGAGGAAGACTTCTTACAGGGCGCATTGGACTTGGATTTTCAACATTATTTTTCTAAGTCTTATGTTACAAGTTTGAATTTAATCAATTTTTACAATTTTTTAGTTTTTGTATTATTTTTTGTTTTTAGCGACGTAATCAAAAATCGAAGTCCAATGCGCCCTGTAAAAAATATTCCTCTATCTAACAAAAAAAAAAATACGGAAATCGGACCAATCTACGAGGTGTGAGAGTTTTTCCTGTAAACTGTGTTTTGACCGATATAATACACCCTATCAACCCCCCCTAAATAGGTATTGGGTAGTAGATTAGTGGAAAAGTCTTATAATTGAGGTGGCAACTAAAATATAAAATTTAATTTTCAAATTTTATAGAATTGCGGAAAATTTGAAAAATCGCGAGCAGGCCCCTTAAGCGCTTGTAAAAGTTGTATACTAATAGTATTCTCATGATTTATGTTTTGTTTCAATAAAGATTTTTTTATAACTACTATACATTAATATTTATAAATTATATTATATTAAGTAATTTATCCCTTTGGTGGCAATTTAATGAGGGAACTGAGTAGATTATATAATATACTATAAAACCACATGAATTTTTTTTCATCGACCAGTACCTATTTTATAAAATTATTTATTTAAGCCTCATTTGATAGAAATAATAAATTGCAAGGAATATAATATTTTGTATAGGTGCACATTGTCTGCTTTAGAGAAAAAACAATGGTAATCATAAACATTTTTTTTCTGATCATAATATAGACACTATACGAAAGGTTTTGTACGGAGTAATTTATTCTTTTATCACTATTCAGTATAATTTTGTGCAAGTGTATTTTTAACTTGTTTTACATAATTTGAAGTCATTCCAACACAAAATTATGTTATCATTTAAAAATTTAAATACCTTGAAAAAAAATGATAAAATGATAAAAGTAAAAATTGTGAAAATTGTGGCAAGTACAATTTTATTTAAAAATTGTTGTGTTGTTACTTCAAACTGTATTTTTTTTTTTACAAATGCACATTTACCTAGAAATTAGCTGTTTAAGAATAAATTAATAGAAACAACATTTACATTATACTTACATATTACTTTAATAGTAATTAGTGTAAGCATTAAAATTATTTTTATAGACTATTCGCAGTTATACCGAACGCGGTACAACATTTTCGAGGGTACCTATACTAAAATAAACAACTCTACTGTTGTAAGTTAAACACCGTTCATGTATAACATATTATATATAACACACTGACATGGGCTCGAGTGTTTCCGCACATCTTTGGGGGTGGTCTGTCGTACATCATTTTTTCCGCCATGATACTATGTGATATATTATGAAACGTCCTCCCACGGGGTTTTTTTTTAAGACATAGCTCTAAATCTCAGTGAAGTACACCCTAAATGGCAGTTTCGAGCAAACAAAAACCACAGACTTGAGGACGAATAACTGAAATCATAAGAGGATAAAGCACACATATCACACATTTTTACAGTATTGCCAGAGCCAAGATTTATGGTGCTTGGCGCTTGGGGTTGAAAACTTCGCCTTTAGTTCTGCACTGTCTTTAACACCAAAAAATTCTTAGTTTTTAAAAAAACTTCAAAGTTAGAATACATGCAATTTACCAGTTATAATTAAAAGCACTAACAAACACGATATAAGTCTAAACAGGATTTAACACTTCTCACTCTTCACTATTTAAATTTTTCACTTTTCACTCTTTTATTTGAGTATTTAAATATCTATTTGAAATGCATTTCAAAAGTATTTTTTCTTATCGAATATGACTCATATGATTATGATTAATACAACAAATTAAAAATAAATCCAAATTTAATAATTAAAAAAAAAATGTAGGTATGCAGTCATTTTTGATCAAGACGACTTCAAGATAGATAATAATAATAGTTGATGAAAAAAATAACTTCTTATGTAGAAAGTAATTATATAAAATACTTTCACGGGCGATGCAGTTATTGGTATCGTATTACGATTTTGATGCCTAACATCAATATACTGTATTGCTACCACGAAACGGATGGTAAGTTATATCAAATTAAATATCGTGATATTATGTTTTATTAATATGTTATGTAAATCATAAATGCTCAATGACCGTAAATTTGAACGACTGTTGGTAAACATTAGAATAACATATATCCAATATCTATTTAAAACCGGAAAGTATTTCTTACCAATATACCAAATAATAAGTAACGATTTAATTAATTTTCGTACAAAACCTTTTTCCGATAATTTATTAAATTTATAAACGGATTAAATAATATTTTAAAATCACGGGACTTTGTTAATATTATATAGTATATAGAGCCTGTGTGCAGTATCAAACT